AACTCTGAATTAAGATCTCAGAATAAGTTTCCAAACTGTACAACATAGTTTCAAATACACTACCCTTGTTGTTTGTAAGGCCGCACTGAAGTTTAGCTTAACAGTCATGAGCCATGTGTTTGAACATCTTAGGAGACATGACCCACAAAGAAACAAGTTTTTTCCTTGTTCACCCTGCTACCTGCAAAGAGGTATCATTGCTTTCTGGATAGCTCCCTTAAAGGTATCACCAGGAAAAATAATTCAGATTTGCTTTATTGAATCATCTGAAAAAATATTTAGACTTTATAAAGTGAAAAGGTTGCACTTTCAATTCTCTGAGAGTGTTCTCTTGTTAATCTATAACTACCCTCTCTAATGAGTATGTTATCCTGTATAATAAAAGGTTAATATGCAAATTGACTGAAGGGTGGAACGACCGCTCGCTATGACACACACTGACCACCAGGGGGTAGACACTCAACGCAGGAGCTGCCCCCTGGTGGTCAGTGTGCTCCCACAGGGGGAGCGCTGCTCAGCCAGAAGCCAGGCTCATGGCTGGCGAGCACAGTGGCGGGGGCAGGAGCCTCTCCCACCTCCATGGCAGTCGGACATCCCCCAAGGGCTCCCAGACTATGAGAGGGTGCAGGCTAGGCTGAGGGAGCCCCCCTGAGTGCACAAATTTCGTGCACCGGGCCTCTAGTATTTCAATAAACAAATATACCAAGAGATGCGTACTCCCTGTTGTAGCTCTGCTATATAAAGTTGAGAGAGCTGTAGGATCATAGCATCATCTTTCTAACAAGTGTCAATTTTAAGAAGCCAGTGAATGCTGTATGTTGTTGACATAACTAGGGAAATTAAATGCACTACAGATCTTGACTTGATAGTTCTCCAAGAGAAAGTGAGTATATCTTGGGTGGAGTATGAAGAACAAGAGGAGGCCAAGGAATAGGGATTTTCCGGTATGCCTCCTTGTCTAAAACTGTCTTCAAATGAAGAGTTCAACCCTTACCGGGGCGCACATTCATGAGGCAGGATAACAATGAATGAGAGGCCAGTCCTCTTTCCACTTGTCTGGCATGATCTCCTGGCAAGGATGGGGTAGGTGTTTGCCAGGTGGCTCCCAGACAAGGTCTTTTTAGGGGAGTACAACAAGGCTTCAGTCATTGCTTTCCATAAAGTGCTTTGGGATCCTTTAGGAATGGGGGCTGGAGGAATATTATTACTAATTGGCTTCAACTTTCAAACCAACTGGAGCCATTTTCTCCAGAGTAATTATTGCTTTGAGCATCAGTGAATGTTCTTAAAACGAAATGGGTCTCTTCTTTAAGTACCCACTTCTTAAAATACTCATTTCCTAGAGTGAACATTTTAAATTACTGTCTCCCAGCTATCCTCACCAATTAAGAGGATGTGATAGCCTTTTAAATGGTTGCAAGCATACACATCAAAGACTTTCATTTTCCAGGCTGTTATCCTTATGATTAGACAGTGAGAGTGGAATCAAAGATGTCTGGCCCAACATGTGCTATTTCAGCGAGGCTGGGGGGACAGGTTCTTGCCTCTTCTAAGACATTGGTGAGATGTTTGGTGATGATGGCTACACTCATATCAGACTGTGAGCTCCTTGTTGCCTGGGAATGCATTTTATACATGATTCTTTTGTTCTCGGTAGGACTTAGAATAGAGAGCGATGTGTGAGAGGGGCTCGATCAGTGATTTTTGAGGATTTTCACAAATGATGAGAGCTGGCTAATACTGGTGAGAATTAAGCATGTTAGAAAAACCATGGAAAAAGAAGACCTGGGATAGGAAAGATTCCTCCAGAGGCTCCCAGGTTGGACTTAAAAAGAATGAACATCCATCATATCCCAAACCAAACCAAACCAAAACAAACAAGCAAAAAAAAAAATCCTCATACATTGTAAAGTTTCCAAAATGAGAAGACTGGCCAAGTGAATAAAGGACTGAATTAGAGAACACAATTTTCACTCACAAGAATGAATTAAGTTAAACTAAGCTCACAAGGTACGGGTGGAGGGAAGCTATTGGAACAAATAGCTAATTACTGAGGATACACCACCCACTTTTATATAGGAATAGTGCTAGGAAAATGCATTTTCAAGTTGATTAAGCAAGCCCATTTAAACCTAATGTGCATTATTCATTTCACGGGTGTGCATTTATTTTTCTCATAGAAGTTGAAGAAATAACCCCGTGTCCTCACTATAAATTAGTGCATTTGGATTTAATGCAATTTCACTTCATGAGTCATGATTTGTTCCAGTATGCCAGAGCTTGCTGACCAATTGAGGGGCCCCCGAAGGGGTCAGTCTCTGCTCTTGCTGCCTGTCAAATGCCTTCCTTCTAATTCACAGTCACAAACTTCCTTCCATGCCACCAGACAGGTCATGATCAGAGAATCATTTGGTTTCTTAGTTCTTGACAATTCCAGCATCTCATTTCACCCTTGTTGAACATATATAATCTATTTTATAAGTAGGAATAAATAATGATGCAGGTGACTGTCATTTTTTGTTATTAAATAGGAATCAAATGGTATGTAATTTTAAATGCTATTTCTCCTAAATTTGCATTTTCATTAATTAGCTTAGATGTTTATTATATGAAATTTGAAATTTCCTGGCGACAAGGAGCTCTGTGATATTGAAAATCTATTAGATAACAGGTTGAGAAAAAACATTGAATTTGGAATTAGAAGTAGATATTTGGAAAACCAGATAAATAGCCTATAGATAAGAGTTGGCCTGTGCCAATTCCCAATGGGAGAGCCTGCTATAAAGAGGATGGTTCTGGGTTCTGAACCTAACTCTGAGGCTAACCTAGCTCTTCAACTTTGAATAAGTCACTTAACCACTCTGGGCCTTAATTGCATCATCTGTAAATGCAAGGACTTAAGACTAATTTTGTGATTCCTTTTAGCTTTAAAAGGAATCTCCATACACATAGAATTCACTCAGAAAGAAGAAAACTGCCCTTTAAAATTCTCCCAGGCATGGAAAAGGAGTTGCAATGATTCCGATCAGGTTCTTTGGGAGGGTGATTGAGTATACAATCTCTTAAAAAAAAATAAAGACTGAGCTCTGGGCTTTAGTTTTCTAATGACCATAGGCCATGGGCCAAATCTGTACCTTTGCATCAGGGTAATTATTTATGTTTAAATCAAATGTTTCAAAAATGGAAGGGACCGGAATAACATTGTGAACAGGGGACTTTGTATGACTTCCCTTGAGGACAGATGGTAGAACTGTGAGCATAGGAGTAGGGCCATAAAGAGCAATATTTAACCAAAATGCTTATGAAGCGGAAAAGGACCATTTAGAATATCAGTGAACTGAACGGATCTTGACTCCTGAACATGAGGGAAGGCTCCTCATGCCTTTTTGAACATGTAGTGTGATTTCTCTTTGATTTGGGCTTCTCTTAAGTGAGAAATGCAGGTGGGAGGCAATGAGACCAAACCAGGATTTTCAGGTGTCTTTGAGCATAGCCTTGGAGCCACTGGCGGGGTCTTCCAAGGAAAGCTTTTCCCTGAGGCCAATGGACCAGCTGATGTCAGGGTAAAACTGAATTTGGAAAGGGTGGATTAAAAAGAGGAGGCAGCAACCCAAGCCCTGGACAATCTGTCCTGTGACTTGTGACGTGGGGGTGAGTAGATGTGTCTGTGTGACTGTAAGGACTGCATCATTGCCTGGCTATAAATGCAGGGCGCTTTCTCGTTCTATGACAATTCCATCACCTAAGAAATCTGGAGCAGATCCATGATCATTTTCAGGAACACAGCCCCCATGGACATAATTATTTTAGGTTTGTAAAGAAAATAGATTTTTGCTCATGTCTTTCTCCCGTCTCTTATCTTGACTATAATCCAGGCTTTCACTCAGCCCTCTTCTTGCCCCCAAGAATATTATGCCGCCCCTTTTCATACTTGAATGGAGCTGAGTGTGCAGGAAGGGCTTCTTTCTGCCTTACTCCATCTTTGCAAGACGAAGCTAGAAGAGAACCATCCTCTACTTTTGTTTCTGTGGTTTCCACACAGCACTAAGTGAAGAAAAGGCCTGTCCAAGGCTTCCCTAAGCAGATCAGTGCTGACAGGGAACCCAGGACAAGTCCACTTGCCCCTGTGCCCTAGAGGTACAACCTGGGCTCCTTTCCCCAAAACTCCTTTAAAGGTTTGGAATGGAGAAAAAAACAACGCTCATCTTATTTTCATCTATAGAACTCCTATCAATCACAAATTCGGGAAAGAGCCCTAAACCCAGTGTTCAGATGACAAAGCCAGCTGCAGAACTGGGGGTGGCTCCTTGGGCTGCCCTACCTTAGTCGCAGGTGCTATCAAAAAGCAGGCATGTTTGAACTGTTACATCCAGGACTCTATCTTCACACAAAAGCTCCTCTATGCCTTTTGTAGGCTGCACTGGGAATGACACTGGCAACTCTTGCCTTTACCCCAACTCTTACTCTTAAATAAAAAATAGGGGGTGGAGGGCTTGAACCTGTAACCTTTGGATTTTCTTTCTTTCTTTTTTTTTTTTTTTTTAACATTCGAACCGTTTGAAAATGGGTGGGGACGTGGTGGGGGCAGGCTGGGCCATAGAAAATGCAGGGACTTGCTGTGGAATGATGCACAGCCAATGGCGGCCTCCCTAAAGCATGCTGCTGAGTATTTCTGACACCTGGGAGGTGGTCGGAGCCTCGGGGCTCCTCTGTGGGCGGGTGGGGCTGGGCAGGCGGGAGTGGCGCCCAGGAGGTGGCCTCAAGCTGGCCCAGGACTTTGCATCCATGTCCACCAGGGCCTCGGGGTAGGGCTCCACGTAACACGCAGGCCGCCATCTTGGCGTGGTTCTTGGGCCCGAAGCCCGTGAGGGTCAGGCCGTGGAGGAACTCAGCACACGCGTGGTCGGGGTCCGGGCCTGGATCCTGGCCCTGGGGGTCCTGGCCCGACCCCGTTGAAGACTTCACGTCGTGCACCTGCAGGACGTCGGGGGCACTGCCGCTCAGGCCGCTGAGCGCCTGCTGACGCAGGCCGCCATCTTGGCGTGGTTCTTGGGCCCGAAGCCCGTGAGGGTCAGGCCGTGGAGGAACTCAGCACACGCGTGGTCGGGGTCCGGGCCTGGATCCTGGCCCTGGGGGTCCTGGCCCGACCCCGTTGAAGACTTCACGTCGTGCACCTGCAGGACGTCGGGGGCACTGCCGCTCAGGCCGCTGAGCGCCTGCTGCGCGATGTCCTGTGAGGACAGGTACACCAGGTCCAGGTCTCGGGGGCTCAGGGCGTCGCTGGAGTCGTAGTCACTGTCGGTGGGGAGGAAGACTTCCGAGCAGCCTTCTTCGTCCGAGCAGGGCTGGGAATCTGCTGAGGTTAGGAGAGAGAACAGTTCTTGGCGTGGGGTGCTTCGGGGCATGGCGTACATGTAGCTGACAACACCCCTCCCCTCCCCCTCCTCTCCCCAATCCTCTCCCTCCCGTGCCTAGAAGGGCCCTGTGCTTCCTTTAATGGTTTGCTCTCACCTCTTGAAACTATTAAGCAATTTTCGTTTGGCATAGGGCTCTCTGTAAGAGGTGTAGTGGGTCCTGTACTTAGCGCGCAGCGGTTCTCAACCTGTGGGTCGCGACCCCTTTGGCGGTCGAACGACCCTTTCACAGGGGTCGCCTAAGCCCATCCTGCATATCAGATATTTACATGACAATTCATAACAGTAGCAACACTACAGTTATGAAGTAGCAATGAAAATAATTTTATGGTTGGGTCACAACATGAGGAACTGTATTTAAAGGGCCAGAAGCTTGAGAACCACTGGGCCTTAAGGGGAAGGAAGGGGAGGAATTCCAACAGGTTCACCTGGACAGCGTCAGGGGGAGAACGCGTCCTCATTCTCCACAGACGATTTTATTACTCCTTGGGCCCTTGGGCATGTGTAGAGAGGATGACACAGATGGATGTTACTCCTTTGTCATTACCTATCCTTCAGATATAAGGTGTTTATTTTGTTGTTGTTTTTCCCCCAAGAACTTAAAAGGGGGAAAGGAAGACAAAGGAGGCAGTACAGTGGCCGAAGTCCGGAAAACCTGGTTTCAAATCCTAGCCTTCCTCCTCCACCTGTGATCTCGGGGCAGTTACTTAGCTTCTTTGAGCGTCACTTTTCTTACCTATAACGTGGGGATGATAATAGAACTTACTAAGGGTGACTGTAAAAAGTAAATGGATTATGTGTGTAAACACCACGTTGTAAGGTGTTTAAAAGGGGGAAAAAGTAAGGCCAAAAGAAAACAAAAAACAAGTAAAATCAGAGACAAAAACAAACCTTGAAGTGCATGCTATGATGACCGTAAGGGAGCCACAAGTTTAATTCTATAGGCAGTTGTCATTGAATGCACCAGTTATTTATATGCTTTCCCCCAATCAGATTGTATATTTCTGTAGGGCAAGGGCTGTCTTAACACCCTTTGAATTTCCCACAGAACTCAGCCCATAATGGTCCTTGATAAATATATGCTAATTTTGAAAACATGCAAGTGCTCTTAAAAGGAAGAACTCTCTAATCTACAAATCTGAGACAATCCCATAAGATTTAAAAATGGACTTAAGTAAATTTTTAAAAAATATATTTTTTTATTGATTTCAGAGAGGAAGGGAGAGAGAGATAGAATCATCAATGATGAGAGAGAATCATTGATCTGCTGCCTCTGATCCAGGCAATCCATGCAAATAAGATCCATGCAAAGAACTGGTAATTGACTTTAGTTGAACTTCTCTATCTGATCACTGTGTCTGTTCAGCTGTCCACAGGTATTCTTTTGTGTCTATAATAGTAATAACAAGAACTGTGAGCCAGTCATTACGCTAACTGTTCTAGGCACTTTATCTTATTTAATGCTTACAACTATTCCTATTTCACAGGTAAGAATACTAAGCCTTAGACTTATTAAATTTTCTAATTCATATAGTTGATTAAATGACAGAATAGGAACCACATACAGGTTTGTCTCCCTCCAAAGAGCTGCTATACTGCCATTTGCCTTAGCATTTGCAGGGCTTTCCATGGAAGCTTCCTGAGGACTTGGATTTGGCTCATCTAACCTACTTTGTTCAGTTATATTAAGTTTGTAGTACGGACGTCTGCTGCTGCTAATGAATCATTAGGTCTTGTATTAGTTTCCTGTGGCTGCTGTAACAAATAATCACACACCAGGTGGCTTAAGACCATAGAAATTTATTCCCCCACAGCTCTGGAAGCCAGAAGGCTGAAATCACGGGCCCACAGCGCTACACCTTGGAAGCTGTAGGGGAGAACTTTCTTGCCTCCTCCAGGTCCTGGTGGCATTCCTTGTGGCTGCATCACTCCAATCTCTGCATCTACCTGTAGACTCTCTTCTTTTTCTTACGAGGACACTCATCATTGGATTTAGGGTCTTCCTGGATAATCCAGGTTGATCTCATTTTAAGATCCTTAATTACACCTTCAAAGATTGTTTTTCCAAATAAGATCACATTCTCAGGTTCTGAGGGTTAGGACAGGAACATAGCTTTTGGGGGCCTACCATTCAACCTACTAGAAGTCTGTTAAGAAAAATGACTATAACTAGGAGCAAATGCTGCGGAGTTTGTGACACATTTTTCCTATTTCCAGCCCACACTCAGGTTAAACACTCTGAAAGGAGTTTGCACTTTGACCTCTCAACCTACAAATAGTGAACATTATTGTTTGCAGGAGACTAAGGAGTATATGAAGGTATGCTTTAAAGGGCTGACATTCTAATATTGCAACAGATCATCATGTTTTAAGACTTAGTCTCTCAGGAAGATCTTGTGCTGATTTCCCCAGGTGGAGTTGATTGCTCATTTCTCTTGACTTTTACAGCATTTTATTTATATCTCTGTTACTGCATTTATCAAGGTTTATTATAAATTATTCATTAGCGTATTTATCTACCTCAGTGAATTATGAACTCTAGAGAGCATGCCTGTGTCTTATTCATCTCTGCTTAGCGAATGTTAAAGAAGTTAGTCAGTGAAGGAATAGACTAAAGAAGGAGTCAAGCCAAGGGAAATGTAGGATCTTCTGTATTTCCCAGATCAGTGGTCAGCAAACTGCGGCTCGGCAAACTGCGGCTCGTGAGCCACATGCATCTCTTTGGCCCCTTGAGTATGGCTCTTCCACAAAATACCGACTTCTGCGCATGGGCCACGAAGTTTCAATCGCACTGTACGTGCGTGCTCACACGTGGTATTTTGTGGAAGAGCCACACTCAAGGGGCCAAAGAGCTGCATGTGGCTCGAGAGCTGCAGTTTTCCGACTACGGTCCCAGATCATCTGATCTGAACTTGGACATGTGAGCAGGCTGTGAGGACCTCTTAACTAGACTGTGACTGAATCATCATTGTATTATTAGCTTCTTGTGCTGTACTTAGTACATTCAAAGCTCTCAGTAAAATATGTTGTGTTGAATTGAAACTGAAACCAATATTGAAATCTGGGAGCATAAAGAGTGGTAAAATTTGACTGCCTCTTGAAAAAAATACTGTAAGCGACCGAAAAGACCTAAGTTACTTAATTTGCCGTAGAAATTCCTGAAAACAGTCACCCAAATCAGTTTGTTTTATATTTGACTTGGTGAGTCAGCCCAGTTATAGCAGAAAGAACAATTGTCTTAAAATTAGATAAACCTGGGCCAAAGTCCTGTCTTACACTTTGCTGTGTATATAATCTTGAGCAAATCACTTAGCCCCTCTGAACCTTTCTTCATCTGTAGCCTGTAGGTAATTATGTTGCCTACCTTCCATAGGTGCTATGAGGATTAAATTAGTTTGTTAAAAGTACTTTAAGTGCTTTACAAACAGAAGGTATCAATATTATTGAGATCCTTTCCAACCTTAAATAGAGAAAACTAGAAAATATATCAAGAGGTGGCTCATTAAAATACGAATCAGTAATCTGATAAACTTCAAGATTTTACTGTGAGAATGCTATTAATAATAAAAGAGAACAATCTCTTGTATGGTGTTTTGTGTTGGCAATGACCTAGTCTGGTACTGTATTTCTCAACCTAGATTTGGCAGTGCCTTAGTAAATGATGTAACTTCTTTACTGTAGCTTCGAGGAGCAAGGGAGATAGGAATAAATCAAGAGAAGAGCTAGTTGTAACTGTAGTAACCCAGGAAGGAGATGAAAAAGGGCCTGGGTATGGAGTGGTAAATATTATCTTACACGTTCATGGACCCACATTTGGGAAACACTGCTCCAGTGGGAATCTAAATATTTGACTTCCATGGTGGTTGTATTGTTTATTTTGAGACTTAGTGGAACCTATTGCTTAGAGTGGATACCCCTCCCAGAACAATCTCCAGGATGCCAGCCAGGGCACTGAGGAGTTTCCAAGGACTTAGGCCACTGCACTCCCTCCCTTCCTGGAAAAGAATGCAAAGTGCAGCTTCCATTCCCAGATCCAGCCATGTGCTCCATTAAGCATTGGAGGTGCCTTGCCCAGTTGTTATTTTAATAAAACTGGTTGTGCTCCTCAATTTCCTTTAGAGGGCCCACTGGGCAGGCTAGCACTGGTAGAACCTTGGTTTCCCTCGGGTTGACCCAGGAGCTGTTTGATGAAAGTTCTGCCCATAGTATTAGTGCTGGCATAGGAAGCTTAGCTTTCTTGCCATTGTAATGGGTGTTGCAACTCCTGGGCTCTGTGGATCAGGCCAACAACAGCAGGGTAGAGTTGGTGTGGATTTTGAGGGCATTATGGAGAGATGACATTTCAGGAAAGAATAATTGATTTAAAAGCTATTGCTTTTCTCTTAAAAGCAGGGGGCATGGCAAGACAAAAAGAAAGGAACAATAAGCAGCATTTGTTCTAAAAATATATCTTCACATTTTTAATGTATCTCTGTCCAAATTTTTATTTCTTTTGTGCTTCATTGAATCTATTTCCACTGTATTTAAGTAGAATTTAAACAATTTGTACATAAAGAATTTTAATAAATCTCTCAACAGGCCTTACGTAGAATCTCCAGGGTTTGTTCACCTTGTAATTTTCCAAGAGAAATAGCATCTTCAGATTTCTGTTGAATTTTTAAGCTGTTTAGTTTATGCCATAGTGTTTTTAACATCATCTGGGAAAAGGCTACCAGGAAGCTCAGGATAATCTTCAAATGCATCGGAAGGAAACAACGCCCCACTCCCCTCTGTTGCCTCACCCATGTGTCAGTAGGAGAAATAGCAGTATCGGAAAAAAAAAGTACTGCTGCCTGTGGCCACTATACCCACAGAAAAGGAGTGGAAGAGAAAATACCCATGTGATGGACCAAATCATTCCAACCCCTGCCTTGCACTGCCTTTTCTAGGAGCCAACTTTCCCCCTTGGGTCCTTGGGAGATGCTTAATTTTAATAGACTCAGAGGAGTTCTACTTTATGTTTGAAAACCACACAGAAAAGAGAAGTAAGTTAAAGAGTTCCACTACCCTCCCCCTCCATCCCCCAATTACCCACTACAGATATACACAGACAAATCCAAGGTATTCAACAGCCTTAAAACAGAATCTTGGCCTGGCACCAGAGGCCAGGCTTGTGATAAGCTCTGTAATTCCAGCAGGTTCCTCAGAAGTTAAGTGAACCCTACCCATACAGAATGGAATTATGTTGCAAACATTACCCTGAAAGCAAACCAGTGGGGATGCTCTTCTAAATTGGACTTTTTTTCTTCCTAAATGGTTTCCAAACAAAAGTCATCACCTTAGTGGAGATGATAGAGTGTGCAGGAATAGATTTCATTGCTCAGAAATGCTTTTGATTTTGTGAGAGGATAGGATACTAAATATTTCTCTCAGCTCTCAACAGTTTCCCTGTCACTGGGTTCCATTTTTCATTTGCTGCCCTCCACATCTTTGTATTTCACAGCCCATGGAATCTTGGCTTCAGAGAAATAAATGGGCCCAAGAGAGAGTTATATTTTAAGAAACAGAATGATGATCGCTCACTTAAATTTTAAGCTAATAATAAAATCTGAATGTAATTGGCCAGATCCTCCCAGCAAGGAGTGTGTGTAACCCATCATCTGGCCAACGTGAAAGTTTGGCACTCCTGTGGCATAGGATAGGCCACCCTCATACAGCCAGGGGGGAACCACTTAGGACCCTGGGGCCAAGAGAAGATTAAACATTGGGAAAATTCTGTGAGCAGATGGCAGACAAGGAAAGGTGGAAGGAGAATTGAAGAGTTATTTGTAGAACTATATGAATTGTGGAATGGCAGAGGGCATATCTAGCCTGCCTTTAAAAAATGCCCTTTCAACCCAATACCTCTCTAGCTACTGCCCTTCCTTCCTCTTCTTTTTCATAGCCAAGATTTTGAAGAGTGTACCCTTACTGGTCCCCCTTCTTACCTTCCACTTGCTCCCAATCTACTTCTTTTCGTTTCCAGCTCCTTCCCTTCCTAAACTGCTATCATCAAGATTACTGATGACTTTCTTGTTCAAAACAAAACAATAGAAACTTCAGTTTTATTTAACCTTTAACCATCATTTGACATGTTTTAATTTCTGTGACACTTCTCTCTCGTCAGTCCTTCTTGGTCTAAGATGTCTTGCTGTTCCTTCCATAGTCTCCTCTTCTTACTACACTTACTCTCTGTAGGGAATCCCAAGTATTTTTGTAGTTACATTATTCATATATCAATAATTCTTAAATATACATTAGTCCAGTTCTCCTTCCTGAGCTCTAGACTCCGTACGTCCCGTTTTCTCCTGAATGTTTCCTGTTATGTGGAATGTCCCCAAACTCTCGAATTCAGTGTGCCCAGTCACTCAAGCTTGCTTCTCCTGTCTGACTCCCCCCCCCCCTTTTTTTGCAAATGGCATCATGATATCCAGAGGCAGTCAAGCCAGAAAACTTGGTATTTCCTCTGTTAATAGCTTCCTTATTGACCTCCATGTTTCCAGTATTGTTCTTCTATACAAATAACAGCCAGCTTTGGTTTTAAAGAGTAATTCAGATTATATCAATCCTTGCTTAAAAGTTTTCAGTGGCTTTTCATGACAAGTAAAATCCAAACTTCTTCCCATGGCCCTTCCTGATTTGGCTCCTGCCTTTCTCTCATTGCTACCCTTTTGTTAACTCTTCCCCAGTGACTTTGGCCTTCTTTCCATCCCTCACCCATTTCAGAGCCTTTTGTTGTTTTGTTTCCTAGGATATTCCAGTTCCAGATTTTTGCCTTACTGGCTCCTTTTTCTGTGGTTGGTTTGAATGTAACTTTTCACAGACAAGTCTCTGCTGATCATCCCAAGGAATTCAGTGCTCTCCCTGCCCACCTGGATTGCTGTTTTGTGTTATACATTGGAATTTTCACTATCTGAAATTATCTTGTTTGTTTATGTTTTCATTGTTTGTCACTCTGCTTAGAATAGAAACTTTGCTTTGTTTATTACTATATCTCTGTTACTTCAGAGAGTGCCTGGAACATGGTGAGTAACCAAAAAATATTTTTTTAAGTGGAAAAAAAAAAAAGAAGAACAGTATACTTGGATCCTGACTGCTTACAGTTCTCTGAACTACAACATAGTTGCCCATTCTGCTTTCTCCACTTCTTTGCTCTCCTCTTTTCCCTTTTTCTTGGTTCAACTCCTGCTATCCTTCAGCATGTGACTTTGTTACCTCCTCCAGGAAGCTCTCTTTGATCTTATGAGTTAACACCTCCAGTAGATTCTATAGCACCCTATACATTATCCTTTTCAGAGTACATATGCAATTATCAGAAAAATTTTTGTTAGTCCATTAGACTTCTGCTAGGGATGGTGTTTTAGCTCAGTGGGAACCTGTTAAAATACACTTGAGAAACTGTACATAAAGAATTCTTTTGTGGAATTATTTGCTAAATCATAGAACCCTTTGGTAATGTAAATTAGCAGTCTCTCAGGTTCTTCCACTTGCCCAGTGTTGATTTTTAGACAGTGCGTTTTTTTTTTTAAAACATAGGAGCATACACAGACTTACTATAGAAAAAACTCATATCCTCACTAAAGTTTTCTATAAGAATAATAATAACATTAAATATGGTACCTACCACTTATTGTCTATTATATACCATGCATCTCTGACATAGATTGTCTTATTCACAAGTAGCTATATTATTCTCATTTTACATCTGCGGAAAGTGAGACTCATGTAGTAATCTGTAGCTAGTAAAATAAAGCTGGGATTTGAATCCAGGTCTCTGATTTTTAAGTCCAAGCTCTTTCTAACTACACCATGCTGCCCCCTATGGGACAAGCCCAGGTTTCAGTGCTGTTTATTAAAAATATCAATTATTATGGTAAGGCTTACAAAATGGGAACTCATAAGCTATAGCAGCGATTTTCAACCAGTAATAGTCAGGATTGAATATTTTACAAATTCTTGTGATAAACTGGTTGAAATTGCTGAACTATAGAATTAAGAAAGATGCTTTGAATGCCGTTATTTTAATTGACTAAAAAAAAAAAGGTACTAATTTCAACATGTCCTAGGCAAAAACATTATATTGCCTTTGACTAGTATGCTTTCTCTCTGTTTATAAGCATAAAGGTTGTTTTTGTAGAGATTTGTGGTTAGCATTTGCCATGTAAATTGAAACTTGATTCCCAAGAGTAGAGGTGACTTGTTAGATACCTCTTCCGGCTTGTTTGTAAGTTGTCTCCTGCTTGCTGTATCCATGGTGGTGCCAATCTACTTATTTGGTCTCAGTCTTTGGATTCTAGTTTATCCAGGGTTTCTCTCTTTTCCACCTCCCACCCCAGGACACTGGTGCCATGTGGATAAGAAGTTTACCATGAACTCTTAGTCAGGTGGACCTGCTTCCTATCTCATTCTTGTCAGACCTATTTCCTAGAGCAGTGGTTCTCAACCTTCTGGCCCTTTAAATACAGTTCTTCATGTTGTGACCCAACCATAAAATTATTTTCGTTGCTACTTCATAACTGTAATGTTGCTACTGTTATGAATCGTAATGTAAATATCTGATATGCAGGATGGTCTTAGGCGACTCCTGTGAAAGGGTTGTTTGACCGTCAAAAGGGTCGCGACCCACAGGTTGAGAACCGCTGTCCTAGAGACTGGGCCTGTTCTCCTTCCTTACCTGGTTTTGATCAGATTCCCTCACTGACTTGGCCTGCACATGGTACTGCAGCCCTCTCCATTCCACACTTCTGAGGCCTCATCCCTGCTGTGTGTCCTTTTGTATCTCAGAAACTTGGGATAGAACTGGGCTGAATCTTTTCTACTCTAAATGGCGTTGACCTCAGGTTACTGCCTTAGTTTCCTATCCCTCCGTTGCTCCAATTTTGTTCCCTCTATGCTTTTAGACTCAAACTGAGCAGTGTTTTCTAGTGCTTGATGGGACCAATGCCTTAGCAAAAAAGAACGTCATCAGTGGAGATAGGATTGAGAATATGCTGGTCTGAAATAGGTAACTTTAGATCATATTACTTACCACTCACTGCCTTTCTTCTGTGCATCTCTGGGGATGGGGATGGTGATGGAAGACAGTCTATATGGGATGATGTAGAGCTCATCTTCTTTAGGTTCTGCTCATCTGAGGGGTCTATAAGCTTAGTAATGGACAAGCCCGACATTGATTGTTTGTATCTTGCATACTGTAGAGCATCCATGATCCATCTCATTTCACGCCAAACTTCATCTATTTGCTTTGAAATAAAATGGTAAAGGACATTGTTATCAAACCAGTATGAAAAAGAAGTAAGTTTCCCCGAGGGTCCAAGATGATACATTTTGCACTGTATTGGTTTTGATCAAATAGCAAAAGACCTGGATTCCAGCTGGGATCCACCACTTATTAGCTCTCTAACAATCTTTGCTAAGTCACTTCACCTCTTTGAGCCTTCGTTGCCTTATTTGTGAAATGTGGACAAAACATCTCCCCTTTTATACCTCACAAAACTGCTAAGATTATTGGGTGAAATGATGAATCTGAAAGTGCTTTGTAAAAACTACATATGAAGTGTTATTAATTTTCAGCATATAATGAAAATATTCCCTATAGGGCCTTAATCTATACTTAAAGAATATTCTTTAAAGAATATCCCTAAACCTGGTGCTCCCAACAGAGTAGAATCTGAAACTGTGACAGTCAGCCATGCTCAGAGTGACTAGTTGTGAACTAGTGAATGGCACTGCGTGGTTGATAGCCATTTCCCCTTGCTTTCTAGTTCTGTTCTGCCCTAGAGTGACAGGACTCGGCAGAGTATTCAGGGCTGGTAATGAGAGCATAAGTTTGAGCTTCAGGCTTTGTTACACAGTGAGTTGGGCAGGAGGGTCAGCAGTGGGCAGGCCCATGAGGAGGCACTAAGCATTAAAAAGGGGAAGTCTGAATGAAGTCCAGCCAGAGTGGGAATCCCAGACAAGACTCAGACCAATTTTCTTGATGGAATTGTTGCTCTCTCATCTGGCTCTAATTGCTCCTACCTTATGTAACATACTCTTGTCTCAGTGTTGTTTTAAAGGCACGACGTGACTGTGGACAGTTTTTAGAGTGCCAGCTAAGGCAGGGACTGTGCTTCTGTATCTGTTACTCTTGGCTGTGCAGAATAAAATAGGTGGGTACTCAATAAATGATTGCTCAGGGAATGAATAAATGAATGAATGAATGAATGAATGAATTAGTGGTTCCCTAAAGATCTCTACCATCAAACAGAGTTACTATGAGGATTAAGTAAGATGATGTGGATGAGTGCACTTTATAAACTGTACATTATTATAAAATTATCAGTTGTTGCAATGACAATTGTAATTATTGTAATGGGCTGAATTTGGCCTCTCAAGTTATATGTCCATGTTCTAATCCCTGGAATTTGTGAATATGACATACTAGAGGCCCGATGCATGAATTCGTGCACAGGTTGGGTCCCTAGGCCTGGCTGGTGATCAGGGCCATCTCATCCAGTCCTGATCAGGGCTGGGCTGATCGGGGCCTGCTGGCCAGGGGGAGGGATGGACCATGGGAGGTTGGCCGGCCGGTTGCGGGGCAGGAGGGGCCGCGTGAGGTTGGCCAGCCAGCCCTGATCAGGGTCAATCAGGGCTGGCTGGCAGGGGGGAGGAACTGGCTGGAGGGAGGGACTAGGGGAAGTTGGCCGGCCATGGGAGGTTGGCTGTGGGAGCACACTGACCACCAGGGGACAGCTCCTGTGTTGAGCGTCTGCCCCTGGTGGTCAGTGCACATCATAGTGACTGGTCAGTCGGTCATTCTGGTTGTTCGGTTGTAATGGTTGCTTAAGCTTTTTATTTATATATATAAGGCCCAGTGCATGAAAATTCATGCACTGAAGTGGGGGTGTCCCTCAAACTTGCCTGCTCCCTCTCACAGTCCAGGAGCCCTCAGGGGCGGGAGGCAACCCGGTGATCAGGGCAAGGCGATGCCACATCACACCTCTGCTGCTGCCACTGCCAGCAACGCAAGCCTCAGCCAGCCCTGGTTACCTGAGCCTCGGGCGGCCCTGGGTAGGTCCTCCTTATTGGCTCTGGGTGCTGCCATCTTTGATGACGTGAGGGTCAATTAGCATATTCTCTCTTTATTAGATAGGCTATAGACTAGAGACCTGGTGCATGAAATTCGTGCACTCAGGGGAGTCCCTCAGCCTGGCCTGTACCCTCTCACAGTCCAGGAGCCCTTGGGGGATGGCTGACTGATGACTTAGGCCCATTCCCCATAGGGAGTGGGCCTAAGCTTTCAGTCAGACATCCTTAGCGCTGCTGCGGAGGCAGGAGAGGCTCCTGCCACCGCTGCTGCGCTAGCCAGCCATGTGCCTGGCTTCTGGCTGAGCGGTGCTCCCCTGTGGGAATGCAGTGACCACCAGGGGGCAGCTCCTGCATTGAGCGTCTGCCCCCTAGGGGTCAGTGTGCATCATAGCGAACAGTCGTTCTGCTGTTCGGTCAATTTGCATATTAGCCTTTTATTATATAGGATGATAATAGAGTAAAAACTACCTTATATGGCAAAAGATGTGATTGATTAAGTTAAGGATTTTGAGAGGAGGAGTTTATCCTGGATTATCTGGGTGGGACCTAATTCCAATGATAAATGTCCTCATAAAGACATTCCTATATGAGTGAGGCAGAGGGAGATTTGGCAGACAGAAGACGAGGAAGCAGTGTGGCTGCACAAGCAGAGGTTGAAGTGATGTGGCCACAAGTCAAGAAGCTGGGAGAAGCAGAGAGCAGATTGTCCTGTACAGCCTACCTAGGACATGTGGCCCTCTCAACACCTTAATTTCAGATTTCTGGCCTCCAGAATGGTGACAATAAGTTTCTCTCATGTTAAGCCACCCTGTTTGTGGGAATTTGTTACAGCAGCCACAGAGAACTAATTACAATTATTAATAGTAACTACTTGTTTTCTTTGGATAAGATTGTTTTTGCCTATTGCTGAGGATGGATAGTGAGATGTAGTGTAGAAAAATTTTTAAAATTATGTGTAGAAACAATGTTTATTTTCTAAATTTTCTCAGTGATGAAGTGAAGAGGTATTAACTGAAGAAAAATTAAAAGCATAGGTACAGAGAAACCTGTGGACTGAATTTTACAGACTTAGCTAAGTAGCTTTAAAAGAAGTACAATTTTCACCCATTTTACCTTATACTGTTGATCTAAAAATAACTGACAACATAATCCCCCTGACTTTAAGGTCCAAATTCAGCTTCTAAAGACTTGCTGACATATTTTTAAAAAGAAAGACCATGAACTCCCTAGGTCTATTGGTTAAAAGTTCTGCATCCATTTCTCACCCTGCCTTTTAAAAATTTTGGTTTTCATCCCATGAATTACACCCCTTTCTCTGTACTCAGGCAAGATAATATTTTTATTAAAATGTAAAGGTGATTGGTTTTCTCAGAGCACAGTTACAAGGTGCTTGAGGGGATGATAGATTGGCTATATTTAATGAGCTGTGTTTCTATTACAGCTTAGGAGCATTTGAAGCATTACAGTATATAAATTATAGCCTAATTGCCCTTTAAGCTTTAGCAGCTCAAACTATGCTGAACTCCAAGTCTCTGCACTTTGACATTTCTGCTGCATGTGCTGTCTATAAAGCCTGTCTACCTTATCTATGATTTTCTGCACCTCCCTGGTCTAGCCCTCCCCCTTTCTGGCCACACTCCTTGGCTTCTTTTCCTCACTGTATTTACATAGACTCCCTTGCTCTTTACAATGTTTGGTTTGTGTAGTAACTTCAACACTGTCTTAGATCTGGAATCATACAAATGCTCTTGTGGCTGGCGGTTGCCTCTGCAAGTTATCGTGTGTGGTGGGCTGAGCTGTTAATGCCAATGGGTGAGTGGCTACAGCTGGTTTTCATTCTGAGCAAGAGACTGAGAAGCCCCAAACAGATAAGGGGATAGGTAATATCATATTGTCTTCCGCCAGTTAAGGTATCCATGCTGTATGGAACAAGGCATCGCATGGAAGGCTAAGGGTACAGAGAGGTGGTCTGGTTTTATCCTGGCCAAGAAGTGGTTTTTTGAACCCTTTGGAAATTGGCTTTTATCCACATCTTTGTGTACCTGGCTGGGTGGAAGGAGTATGTAGAGGGGCTCTCAGGTTACCTGCTTTGGGAGACCAGAGCAGGCTAGAACTTTGAAGAATTCCTGGCCTGGCCTGCCTTTATCCATCCCACTTAATGGTGCAGTGAAAGGGAAGGAGAAAAAGGCAGTGGAGCCCAAATCTGGGTGACAAAGAAAGGAGCAAGCGTGGTAGCATCAGGGAGTAAGACTGTGGTGGGGAACTCCTGGAGGGGTTTGAGAATGTGACAGCCGGGAAAAATTCAGCCTTCTTGTTGGATGAACTGACTGAATTCAGGGAGGCTTAACGTGGAATAAAGCAGAAACCGAACCTAAGGCATGGTTAAAATATGCTTCTCTAAAAATATCTATGGTGGTTAAAGAAGCTATGAAATGTTAGAGTCAACCAGGCTCTTAGTAGTCATCTAGTCCAGCAGTTGCCAACCTTTTTGACCTCACGGACCACCAGTGGTCTGCGGACCACGGGTAGGTGACTGCTGATCTAGTCCAATCCTTTCATTTTACATGTGAGGAAATTGAAGACCCTGGAGATCAAATGAATTGTTCCATACTCCAAGGTTTATCAGAAGATTCCAGACTAAAAATGTATGTTGATTGACTTCTGGTCATTAGTTTTACTCTTTTCCACTGTCTCTTATATTAGGTTCAAAAAATAAGCCAGTCTTTCATATTGTCCTTATGCTTCATTCTTCCTTTTCTCCCTCACCCTCACCCCCACTCCTGTCTGTGTCCCACTTTTACTGGAAAAAATAAATGATGTAAATGTTTTGATTTTTTAAATGGTACATTCCCAGGTCAAGAGAACAAGTAACTTCCTAAAAGGTTGATTTCTTTAGTTTGAGACGTCACCTGAGATATCTCATTTACAGGATGAGAGAACTTGGATAGGATTTGCCTGCTTACCACTTTGCAAGTATATTACAATATCTTCTTCCTGAGTACTTAATAAATTCCAGGTCTTGCATATTCATATTTCAAAGCATTTTCCCTTCTTATTAATGAGTGAAAAATGAATATATAAGTTATTACATACTTAATGTGCAGGCATTTTGCTGGGTGCTTTACATGATTATCTTGTTGAATTCTCTCAATAACATTATGAGCTAGTGTTGTTATTATCATCCCTGTTTTACAGATGAGGTTGGGAGTTAGAGAAATTTATTTGCTCAGTTCATAGTATTTTCTCATCTTAGGTAGCCATTATTTCTCGCTGGATGGTTCTAATAGCTTTGTATGTGGTTTTCCTGCACTTAGTCTTCTCCTTAAATCCAGGAATGATATGCAAATTATGTAGTGAGCATGGCCATTGAGAATGGGTGCTTACTATAAACAGCCAGTATGGCCACACCCCTGCGCACAGGAGGACTATCCTGCCCTGCTTGAATCTATACTAAACATCTATGAGAACCTATAATAATTTACCTTCTCCAAAACTTTGACCAGGTCCCTACTCTCTGCAGAATAAAGTGCAAATTTCTTACCCTGGTTTTTATTAAAACCCTTGTAATCTGATCTCATTGCTACTTTTATTCTTTCCCAGTTTCTTACTACCACCCTTCACTCAATTTATGCCCCAACTTATCTTGACTACTTACTCATCATTCCCAAGTACTATTTTTTCTATACTTTCTGCCTTGTTTGTTTATAATTTTTCTTTGGATTCCCCCATCCTCCAAAGTCTGTTTCTCCTCATGATAGTTTAGCCTATCTCCCTAGGCCCAGTTTAGTTCTCAGATATCAGTTACATGCTCTATAGTAACCTCTCTTATACCCACAAGAGTAAGTTCATTTTTATTTCTTTGTGTTGATACAGTTTTTTAAAAATTTCTCTTTTGGCACCTAATTCATTTTACGATTGTATTTATACACATTTCTTGTCTCCCCTAATGAATTTTAAACTCTCAAAGGTTAGGGACCATGCCTAATTCAACTTTATATTTCCCTTACAGTGCCTGACAACTGGATGCTCAATAAATATTTATCATAGTGATATTTATCACAGAGCTATTGCTATTGTACTCATTTTGTGTATTGGGTAACTATAGGCAGAAAGATCATAAGATTTGTCCAAGGGATTTAGAGGCAATGTCAGACCAGATTTGCATTTTCTCGATGACTAGTTAGTACCTCTACCACAAGACCCTGAGGTGGTTACTGTGAGGTCTTCCCAGACAAGACCATGGACAGGGAATACATTTTTCTAACCTCTGTAGCTACATATTAAAGTGTCAAAGAAAGTGTCAAAATGCTGTGAGAAAGAAATTCAAAGCACAAGGAATCTTAAGTCCAGTGTGATTTGGGTTAACATAAACTAGCGGATCATTCTCTTCTCTTTTTCTGTGGGTTAAGAGTTAATTAATACAGTGTTTCTGTTGGATTTGTCAGTGGGCTACTAGATAAGAATAATATTCTGATCACTACTTCTTGTGGCAGTGATTTTTCTCTCTCCATGGGAAACCACTGCTACCCGCGACAGTGGCTGATGCAGCTCTTAGTAACACTGTGATTTAACTCTAGGTTTTTTTTAAGCCTTTGTTTAAAAATGCACATTTTTCTGAGTTCTGGATTTTCACCAAATCAACAGGCTCCTTGCACACTGTGGTCTTTAAATTAGCCCAGCTGGCTGTTCTTTCTCATCCCCTCCACCCTGCCTTTTCTTCCTTCCTTTCACCTCAGAAGAAACAAACTATTACCTGAATGAAATCTAAAACTTGCTGGTGTCTTTGTTTGGCAGCTGCAACCTCGCTGTCTGAGATCGCTTCCCTCAGGGACTGTTGGGTATTCAGAGAATCCAGCTCCACAACAGCAGAAAGGCGGCAATACAGACTAATAAATTTCTCTCTGTAGCTGCAAAAATGAACTGGAAAATGGACAAGCAAAATAAAACATGTTAAGATCTGGTATCAAAATAGAGAAATTCATACCTCAGAGAAAATAAGTTGAATGAAAACATGATTTATTAATCCTATCAGTGGAAAATATTAAGCCATAAATAAATTATAAATGTGCTCTTAAGGAGCCAGTTGTCTGGTTTGAGTCAGACAGTATTCCTTTTTAAGGTTTACCAAGTCCTGGAAAGGTATGGGGAAATGGGGTTGGCTCAAGCTGCAGTTTATGATGTTCAGCCCCTAAAGTTGGGGCTGAAGATATATACACATATATACGTATATATCATATATAAATTATTTATATATTGGGGAAATGAGTTTGCTTATCACTTTAAAGAAAAAAGCCAGATAACAATTGGAAATTTAGTTTTGAATCCCATGTCTGATTTCCAGTATGTATTTTGTACTGGTATGCTTCTTTCCCAGACCAGAAGTCCCAGAAGATAGGAGAAATGTTTATCTCAGGGTATCTTTTGCCTGGCTGGTAAAGTTCCCTAAGGATCTAGTATGATGGATTTAATCCTCTTCCTGCCCCTCTGCTCCTCAGCTTCTCTGGACAGATGATAAGAGTGGATGCCTTAACAGACCATATTTTTTTTCCCAGCAGATTTGGTCTTCCTCCCTCAAAAGACAGCAGGCCAAAGGCCAGGGTCAACAGTCTAACCTTCATCTCCATCATGGAGGAGGGAGACAGGAGTGTGGGACTCAGCCTGGCACAGACAGCCTGAGATGGTCAGATTCTCCATACTTCTCTGACTAGCTGTGATCACGTAACCATTTTAGATGGCACTGGAATGAGGAACGCCATTCAGATAGTGTAGTACCAGTGTCTTCCTGGCCATTGTTGAATTTGGAGACTCACTCTCTAGAAACCTCACTCTGTACTTCTGACCTATATCAATATGTTCCATGCTTTGGAAATAGGGTTGTTATAATGCAACAAATAGGTGGAAACATTTTCATTCTGGCTTTCGGTGAGGAAGTTTAGGAGGAAGATCTAATTACTTCCTTTGGGCCTCTTCACTGTTGATTCATGAGACCTAGTAAGGAAGCTAAAAATCACAGGACCTTAAAATGGGGCATCTGGTCATCTCTGCACCTCACCGAGGAAGCCCTACTTCTCTGCTTTTTGAGAAATCTGTAGGACTCTACATTTCCCTTCTTACAGTTGCCTGCTTCCTTGCTTGATTTCCTCTTAGAGTGAATCTCAGGTAGGTGTGAGGGTAGCCTGCTCTGTTTGTATTTCCTCAGGTGGAAGTGGAGGAGAATGGGGTGAGGGCTTCAGTGGCCCATTTTAACTCTAGCTGTGCACATTTCAAGGAGGTAATTCTTACTCAGGTAGTCTCAGTTTTGGGGTGTTGATTTTTTTCTCGTGTCAGATCCTTCCTTCCTACTTCCTCTACTCTAATACTTCCTTGCCTTACTCACAGAAGAACTGATTTCATATAGCCTCTTAGTAAATAACCAACTATTTCGCTCTTCCCAAATGATCTACTTTTCCCAGCTTAATGGCCATAGAGCTCTCTCTTGACTTCAGGATCAAATCTAAACATCTAATTGCCATAAGGAAAGTTCCTTTCAATCTAGGATTTGAATTTATCTTCAATCTTTCATTTTGCACCACTCTCCATCTTCCACTTCCACTCACATTGACCCAAGCTGAACTTATGTAAGTCCTTTTGTACTCATATGCTTTTAAACATGCCTTTTCCTTGCCCTCAAATACCCTACTTTAAGTACCTTCGGGTCAGCTTCATCTGATACTTGAATGTCTTCTCAGTAAAGTCTTCACTGACACCTCTTCCCCTCCAAACACAATTAGTTTCTTTCTCTTTTGTTCTCCTAGGGCACTAGTTTCCAAATGCATCAGGACACTTATCCTGCTTTATTGTAATTATGTGTTTAACTGACTGCCTTGGTATTAAATTGCTTTGAGGGCAAGAACCATGCCTCCTATTAATTTTTATTTCCTCAAAACCTGGAACATTATAGCTTCTCAATTAATGATTATTGACTGAACAATAACAAAAAATGTACTGATCTGAAGAGGGCAGACCTTTCCTCTTGCCCTCTGTTCTCTTTTCTCACTATACTCTTGATTTTCCTGTTTTAAAAGATGTATTCCAGGAGTCACCATTATTTTGTAGCTTACTCTTGACACTTGTAGCTCCCTGAATGTCTCTTTATACCTTTCTGGGAGGGATTACATCTTGTTAGTACTTGACAGATGCCCTCTCATTGGCTGCAGAGTGAAGAAAGTGAGGTGTCTCACAGGCTGCCTTTTCAAACCAAGTTGTTAAAAAAAATCTCTTTTCCCTTCTTTCTAAAATGTGACTTGGAAGATAGGGAGAGGGCCTGAAGAATTACTTTAAAAGAAGCACTATCAGTTTCATCTAAATTCTAAAACACTAGGGCGTCCACAATTTTCTCTTGTGTCTCCTTGTGGTAGGAGTCTTGGATCAATGGGTGGTCTCAGAGTGCCCACACCACCTGTGCCACTCACCACAGTGACCTATGAGGACATTTCAACTACAGCACTGCACTTTCCTGCTCTAGTGGTTTTTATCCAGAGTCTTTAATGTTACTTTAACAAATATTACTTTAACATAGTCTTTTGTGGTTTAGCAATGATACATTTGGTAGCCATCACTGAGGAGGGGAAGATAGACTGGAAGCTTCTAATTCTTTTCTAATGTGAATCACATGCATTTTACAGACAAAATGGTATAAGGGTAAATAATGCATTATCTGGGCCACATTACTAATTTGTTAGTAATTTACAAAGTAAGACTCATTTTCTGTGGTGTTGTCTCTCTCTTTTCTCAATATAAGATAGTGACAGACTATAAAATGCAGTTGGCACCAATACTGGAAGCCAGATTGGAGTATAGTAGAGTAGAAAGTACTCAAGCTTAGGTATCAGACAGAACTGGGTTTGAATCATTGTTCTGCCACTCACTACCTGCATGAACTTCTGGGAGCCTCCGTTTTCTCATATTTAAGTCAGGGATAATAATGCCTCCCTAGGATTAAGTGATATATATATCCCACCACAACATGTGGCACATATAAGATACCAAATAAATGTTTATTCACACCCCTATCCCATCCTTCTAGGAAGCATGAGACATTGAGTAGTCAGAGTATTAGAACAGGATTGAGATGAGAATATTCTCCCTAAAGATCTCTAACTCAGTAAAGTTCTAATCAGTCTGGGTCATACAGCCTAGTTTGGAGGCTAAGGAATCAGCAAGATTACCTCCTGGGGTCACTTTTAGTTCCATGATTCTTTGCCAAGATGTCAGAAAGAACTTGGGCACAAAATGACCCTCTAACGATTCCTGGTAGTAAATGAGTTGACAGTTGAAATTCAGGAATGGTATTCTAAATCATGAAAAATGGGCATCAGGAATGAGGGTTGAGGCTGTGCCATTTCTTGTAAGCCTGTGGCCTGGATTCCATTAGGCTCAATGCCTGGATATCCCACAGGCACCTCAAAACTCATCATTTGTCAAACTGAACTCATCATCTTTCCCTTCCCCCAAACCTGTTCCTCCCCTCATAATTCCTATTTTGGTAGATGGCAACATTATCCATCTCAGCACCCTATTCAGACTCTCTGGCTCCTCCATCTTGCTCTTCAACCACATTAAATCAATCACAAAGTCCTATTGATTTTAACTCCTAAAATCCTCTTGCCTCTGCTTTCCCTTCTACACCCCTATTGTGGCAACCTTGGTGTGGGTTCTTATCATTGTCCACATGGACAACGCCACTCTCTTAACTGTCTCATTGCCTCTAGTCTCAGCTCTTTGTGTGTGTGTTTTGGTTATCTTGCAATCCATCCTTCACAGAACTGCTAAAAACCAATAAAATAATATTATTCCTTTTGTTAAATCTTTTAATGACTTCCCATTGCCTATTGGATAAAGTCTAACATCTGTAGGATGGTATAAGTAGCTCTTGGTGATTTGGACCTTTTAAATTTTCCTGTCACTCTTCAGATGCCTTAAGCATCTGTCACAATGAGCTACTAAGAATATACTTATTTGGGCTCCATTTTCCCAGGTCTCCAAGCCTTTGTGCATGCTGTTCCTTCTGCTTTAAGTGACTTTTTTTTTTCTGCTCTGCCTTGTCTTTCATTTTCTGGATATTTGTTTATCTTTCAAGACCTAGTTCATATGTTACCTCTCTAAGAAAGGATTAGGTGTCTTTCCTCTGAAATTCAACAGCCTATCTCTTACAACGGTGCTTTCGTTGTATTGGGACTGTTGGTATAGATGTCTGTAGCCTCTACTGGACTCTAGGCTTCTGATAGGCAGATTGTGTCCTACTAATGTCCTTACGTCCAGCCCTGGCATAGGACTTGGCATAGTGGAAACTCAGTAAATATTTATTGAATGAAGGAAGTAGCCAAGCACTGAAGTACAAAATACATACCAGACTTAAAATTAAAAAAAAAAAGAAATCCCCCAGTTTTTTAATCTTGTTAGTCCAATCACTATGAATCATAGACCCAAGGAAATCAATAAAAATTAGCTTTCCTCATCATAGGGCTGCTGTCAATGTTGACTGCTCACAGGGTCAAGGCAGGGCAACCTCCTTAGTGCAGGCAAGGCAAATTCTCAAGAGGCCACATCCCTGGACAGAGTTTCTAAGGGCTCATGATACTCCTTTTCCTTTTGTTTCTGGAACAGTATAAATAGTGACCTTTGTCAGCCCCCAGCACATGCTTTATTACTGCAGAGGAGTGCTATCCTGCTTTTATCCAAAGGATGGGGGAGTGTCAGCCCTCAGGCTGTGGAGGGGGAATAGGTCTGAACTGTGTACTTGGTTGCCTCAGCTCAGCCCTGCTCACAGAGATCTCACAACATCCTATGTAACAGTCTCTTTCCCCCACAATTAACTGTGGAGAAACACTTTATGGGTCTGCCCTAGCCTAGTCTTTACTCCAGGACGCAGAGGGCTAAGCTCTTTATTGTTTTGTCCTTGCTAGATCTATTTAGTGCTGGAATAGGCCCAGATGCAGTTTTCCATAGCTGGTTAGCAAGTTATTTATGATTCACTAAGGCCACTGGCAGAAACATGGTCAGTCTGCCAAATCTCAAATACTTCCATCGGGGCAGGGATGGCTTACACTAGTCAAACTGAGATATAGTGTAATGCTTTATTCTGTTGTAATTTACATATGCCCATAATTTTCACCTTTTCAGGCTTTGTTTGAATTTCCCGTGTTGTCAATACAGTTTTCTGAGTTCTGGTTGAATTTCCAACAACCGTCTCTTTCTCAGAAATGCTTAGCGTATGTGTTGACCTTTTACTTTGGACCTATCTAGGGAAGAAAGGAGTTCCTACTTCTAAGAAACAAGTAAAAATTGCTTAGCATTTTTTAAAGAAGGGCTTAGGCCCACTATAGCAGGTTCTTAGCAGTTGCTATAGAAAATGATATTAATGCTTAGTGGGCTATGATAATCTATCTCTGGGGAAGCTCTGATTACTTGGGGATAAGATTCTTACTAAGGCCCAGCAATATTTTAAAAATTGTTGCTGGTGGTGCTGAAGTACAGTAAGCATTGTACTAGGGTGCATTAATTTCCTGCTACTGCCAACATTTCCTCCTGATCCGTAGAAAAGACTAATAGAATAGTGTATGCCAATGGAACCAAGCCCAGCTAAGTGGTCTTTCCTGGAAGCTTACATGGTGCTCATTAATCAGCTGGATCACCAATGATATGATAATAAAGGAGGACCAGGAGGGCAAGAAGGTACGTTTTACTATAGGAAGAAACATATTAAAGTTAGGAACTATTGAGACTCAGGCTTTGATTGGGGACCTGGTTTTCATAGGTGAAAAATAGTATTTGATGGTCTTACATTGCTTTTAGTATTAAGTAAGGCAGGTCAAAGAGATAAGAACTGTTGGATTCTGTTACTATGCTAACCACATCCCTATTTCTGTAAATTCCTAAAATGTCTTTCCCTCTGTGTTCTAGGCAGTACTACTTCAAGTGTGGTGCATGGACTGGCAGCACCAGTGTCAGCTGAGAGCTTGTTAGAAATGCACATTGTCCCGTCCCTTTCCCAGACCTTCTGACTCAGCATCTCTGGAGTGGGGCTCCAGGAATCTGTTTTATTAGCAGGCTCTCCAAGTGATTCTCATGCACATTAAAGTTTGAAAAGCATTGTTCTAGGGTATCATATCCTAAGTATGTTTTCTGTGGGTTTTTAGTAAATGCCATGCCAAAAATAGTCCCAGTCATTGTCAAATGAATTTGGAAAATGCAGAGTTAAACAAAGTTAAGCTTTTTAATTTTATTTTTGTGTGTGTGGGGGGTGGACTACCAGATTTTGCAGAGCTTTTTAATATGTTACTCTACTGTTCACAATTCTCCATTGGGTTCTAGGCACACATAAAGTGAAATCTAAAATTCTCATCATGGACTGTGATGTACTGCATGGTCTGGCCCCTATTGACTCTAATCTCATTTTCTATCTCTGTTGCTTTTGCTTACTACACTCCGCCTACAATGCTCTCCTAGCCAGACACACTCTTACTTTAAGGCCTTTGCACTTGCTGTTCTCATTGCATGAAAATCTCAGATCTCTGTTCAAATGTATCTTTTGCAAAGAGGCCTTCCCAGGTCATCCTGTATAAAATTGTTTTCTCCTGTCACTTCACTCCAGTCCCACACCCTGATTTATTTTTCTCTATAGCCCTCCCTTACTGTCTGACATTTACAATATTATTATTATTTTTACAATATTATTTTTTTTTTATTGATTGATTTACTATTTGTCTACTTCACTAGAAGGTAAACTCCCTGAAGAGTTTGTTCATTGCTGATTCTTCACTACCTAGAATAGTGCTTGGCACATAGCAAGTTACTTAAGTATTTATTAATGAACAAATGAATGGAGAGAGTGAATCATAGCATAGAGAGAAACAATAGTGAGACAAAATGTGGCTGCCCTACAGCAGTGCATGCGCCTCCCAGAAAGCAGAATAGAGAGGAAAACTTCCAGGACTTGGTCATCCAGTGTCTTGGAGTCATATACCATTATGATTGATACCAAATCATTGATTGTTCTCACCAAAGCCATTGAGGCATGGGGAAATGAATTTCATGTATTTTTCCCTGTAATTATGGAACAGTAATGATCATTCCACACAGAATGGACTCCTGGTTATCTCTCTAATGAAGTATTTTTCTTAGTTCATTTCCCTGTTAATTATTCATTATCTATCCCTGGGAAATCATTCACATTCATGGCTTCAGATGTTATCAATAGATATTGGTTAATTTCTGTGGTTAGTACCCAGCTTCCTCTCCTGTGTTGCTACTGCCAACTGGACATGTCCATTCAGATATTGAGCTGAAAACATCACTTTTTTTCTTCTCTGACTTCCATACTTCCTGTAATGGCAGCAATAATCTTGCAGTCTTTGAGGCTGAAACCATGAGGATACTCTAGAAGTCTCTAGAGTTCACCTTTTCTCATTCAAATAGTTGCCCAATCTTCCTGATTACTCCCAGTGTTATATCCTATATAATAAAAGACTAATATTGCAAATTGACTGAATGGCGGAACAACTGGTTGCTATGATGTGCACTGACCACCAGGGGATAGATGCTCAATACAGGAGCTGCCCCCTGGTGGTCAGTGCGCTCCCACAGTGGGGCGCCACTCAACCAGAAGCTGGGCTCACAGCTGGCGAGTGCAGCGGAAATGGTGGGAGCTTCTCCTGCCTCCGCGGCAGTTGGACATCCCCTGAGGGCTCCCAGACTATGAGAGGGCACAGGCTGGGCTGAGGGAACCCCCTAAGTGCACACATTTTGTGCACCGGGCCTCTAGTGTGTGTGTGTGTGTGTGTATATATATGTATGTGTATATATATATGGTTTTGTTTCTACCCTAACACTGGACTATTATAGTAATGACTGAACTATTTCCCCTCAACCCTGCTTTCAGTCTATCTTAAACAGATTCTTCAGCTTGACTCTTAAGATACTGGCCAGTATGGCCATAATATCCATATAGCTTTATGTCCATGATTTCCTCACATCTCTTTTCTGATCTAGCCAAACTAGACCACTTGATTTTTTCCAGACTCTTTCTGAGTTCTTATATTCTCATGTATTTGCTCATTCTGCTCCACCTAATAAGAAAGCTTTTCTTATTATCCATGTTTATTGACATCCTGTCCATTCTTTAACACCCACATCAAATATCCTCTCCAAGAAAGTTTTCTGATATATTCTTAGAGAAAATGTGCATTCTTTTCTTATTTTAATATCATTTAATGCTGTTGATTTGGCACATTTTACCTCATTCAATAATAATTTGTATTCTTATTTTATTCCTGCCACCGTATTAAAAGCCCAGCGAGGGCAGAGCTTTTTTGTCTTACTAATCTCTGCATCTCCACATTAGGCCCCAGTATATATACTCAGCAACTTGAATTGAAATACCTTGATCCAAATTATATTTCATAACAGCAATACAGTTATATCATGGACTAATGTTCTTTGGGTGGGGAATTTATTAAATAGTTATATTTACATTCAGGTCTCTCGGGAGTGACATAGCCTATCATTTGACACAAAAAAGGTACAGAAAGGTTAAGTGATTGTCTCTGCCATACCTTAGATGACCCAGGACTCTCAAGCCCCAGTTTGCAAGTCTGATTTAGGCTTCTCTTAAAAACTTTTCTTCTTCTGGAAAAATAACAATTGCTGTTCATCAGCTTTTGAGCCTTTGAACTACTTGGATCAAGGGAAATTGAGAGGCTTAATCCACTCATCCTCAAAGGATAAATTCAGATTCAGATGCCCAAGTCTCAGAACGAGGCATCAGGCAATTGCTTGGTCTGCTTCTAAATCTGGTGGCTGGGGAGCAATCCAAAAAGAGTCTGCCCCCATTCTACCCACTAGTCACTCACTCTTCCACAAATCATACAATTTGAACCCACAGAACTCGTGCTAATTGCCTCTTATTGGCCTGTTACAAGATGCAGCATAGGGAAGAGACAAAGCCTCCCTATTCACATTCTCAGTGGGCAGCAGGGGTCTCTGCAAAAATAAGGAAACTGGGGCCCAAGATGTTCATTTCTGAAAGTCAGGACAAGATCTTCCACTATTCAGAATCTCACATAATTACAATATTGCCTCCTGGGAGACCCTGTCAGTTTATCAAATGGTCTGTTAGAATTTTAGAGTGCATTTAATATTAGAGTCTATTTAATAAATCAGCACTATTTAAAGTTATAGACTTTTTTCTTCCAAGTGATAGACAGTCTACATTTTAATTTCAGCATTTTTTTCCCAGTTGGAGAGAGGGAGGGAGGAAAGGAAGGAGAGAGAGAGAAGTGCTTTTCATGAAAACATCAGTTCTTGTATTTATGTTTTAAGAAAGCAAAGGGGAGGCAAGAACTGCAGCCTGATAACTGAACTTTCTGTTTAGAACTCCCTCCTCTCCATTGGGCCTTAGCTGGGTTTCAATAATTATTGCTCAGGCACATAGTCTTGGAGCTTTGCTTTCTCTCAGACTTGTACACAGTTCTAGGAAGGGTTGTTGCCAAAGCCATCATGTGATTTATTGACCCTCCACTGGGACAAGGGGGAACAGATATAACTTTGTGATTTTATTATAAGGAGGTTGGGTTAATATTTCTAGGTGAAACAAGCTACTATACCAAGTTCAAACATCTGAAGAGGGAGGTTAAGAAATCCTGAGTGTGGGGTGTAAGGATTATTCTGTCCTGGGGCTGTACAGACGTCGTCTGAGGCAGGGAGCAGGAGAAGAAAGGACACATTGTGACCCATTTCCAACACCTCCTGTGTGTAGAGGCGGAAGTTCCTTGCCTGCAGAGGGACACGCGCGGAGGAAAAATAGGAGAGTTACAACATGGCACTTACATAAACAACACCAAACTGGCATAAAACATCTAACAAAATTACACGACTTCAAGCTTGGAATTTTTATACAACATAAATATTAGGGTTCAGCCCATTTAATAATGCTATATAAAATCAAGATTTAAGGCAGTAATGTTCCACATAAACTCTGAAAACAACATTTATGCTTCTTATAAAAGTAGAAAATGATTGCATTCTGTGGGCTTTTCAAAATGATGAATATAATTACATGAAGCAACAAAAATGGATTGAATTAAAAATCCACTAGTTTCAATTTAAGTTGGTTAAGGGGGAAAAATGTAGTTTCTGGCCAAGGACTGAGGAAATTTTACAAGAATAAAAAAAAAAATTGTTGTATGCACTCTTAGGCAGTTAAGCAGCCTTCTCCCAACATGTATATGTAGCCCAACAGTCACCAATGAAATATGAGCTGCTTCAAACCTGCTAAGCCTAAGAAACCCTTTAATAGTATCTACTGTCACAAGTAGACCTGGTAGTTTTTTTTCTCCTCCAGAGTACACGGCCACCCCTAGAATATTCATTTGCTCCTGTAGAGTCTTTATGGCATCTTGTGCAATTTATTCTTTGTCAGTGTTGGCTGTTAGGACTAGCCTTGCAGTATTAACTTAGAATTGGAGTAATAACCCAGGGGAAGAACACTCTTGGAGTTTGTACTCTATACTCGCCCCTATGGGTCAGAGGCCAATACATGGTTGTCTCTCTGTTATTTAAAAAGAGACAGTTACTGCTGTAATAGTCTTCCTGATTACAGGGTAAACTTTGTTCATTGTATGTGTGTGTGTGTGTTGGGTGGGAGTAGAAGGTGAAGTAGGCCAAAAAGTCCTATCTAATAAAGAGGTAATATGCAAATTGACCATCACTCCAACACACAATATGGCTGCCCCCATGTGGTCAAAGATGGCCACCAAAAGATGGCCGTCAGGGGAGGGCAGTTGTGGGCAATCAGACCAGCAGGGGAGGGCAGTTGGGAGGACACTTAGGGGTGACCAGGTTGGTGAGGGAGGGGAGTTAGGGGCGACTAGGCCTGCAGAGGAGGACAGTTAGGGGCAACCAGTCCTGCAGGGGAGGGCAGTTAGGGGCAACCAGGCTGGCAGGGGAGGGCAGTTAGGGGCAACCAGGCTGGCAGGGGAGGACAGTTAGGGGCAATTGGACAGTTAGGGGAGCAGTTAGGCATCGATCAGGCTGGCAGGGGAGTAGTTAGGGGGTGATCAAGCTGGCAGGCAGAAGCGGTTAGGGGATCAGGCCTAAAAGGGCAGTTGGACATCCCTCTAGGGGTCCCAGATTGGAGAGGGTGCAGACTGGGCTGAGGGACAACCCCTCTCCCCCTCCTCCCATGCATGAATTTTGTGCACCAGGCCTCTAGTAAATAAATAAAAGAATAATTCAATGCTATATCATGTTAACTTATTGGACAGAGCTAATTAAACTTTTACTGTTCCCTTCTATGCCAGTAGCTTTTATTGAAATTGCTAGTTAGCAGAGGTTAGAATTAAAGACAATAATTTTGACAGTAAGTTCTCTGTGGAAAGTTAACAGCATAACCTTGGCCATTGCTATAAATTGTACCACATGTCTTCTTAGATACATCATTTGTACATCTAACTATAGATTTATTTATTTATGTATTTCTTTTCCTTGCTTTATGCTATCCTGAAGTTGAGACTTGGTGCCCTTCAAGGTGGGCTAGCCAATGATTTTTCCTTGCTTGACCAGACCATGTAAAATGGGGTCTAGGAACCTTGGAAGAAATCAACATGAAGAAGCTAGAGAAAAGGGGCAGAAGTACAGTCTGTGTCTACTTGTAGGCATCAAATTCAAAGAGCTTACATGTGCAAAGTGGTGTTAAAACCAATAAAAAATGAAATATATATATATATATATATATTTATATCTCCTAATATATAAAAACCCTGGTTCTGTCACGACCAAGCTCGACCAACCGGAAGCCAATCCTGCAGTCAGCGCTGGGTTGCTGTGGCGACCCAGCACTGACTGCTGCAGGTGCGGTGACCCAGCACTGACTGCTGAGGTGGCTGCGAATCAGGCCCAGAGAGAGGCTTGAAGAGAGAAGCAGGGTCTGATCCCTAGCCTGTGTGGCAGCTCTTGATCAGCACTTGCCTCTCTCTCTCTCCCTGCCAGGCCAGCAGCTGCACCTCCATTTCTCTCCAGGCCTCCACCCAGGCTGCTGATCAGCCCTGCCTTTCTGATCAGGCCATGTTGATAGGCCCAGAGACGCTGACTGGCATAGAAACTGACCAATCAGAACCAAATCTGGGTCAACTGTGAGGAGCCAGTGGCTGCCTAGGAGGAACAACTTTTGATTTCTTCAGTGCACTGTTCTAATACGAGGTGGAATTACTTCAGTTCTCCCTGCTTATCCTTTAAGGCTTGAACAGACTAAATCTAGTATTTACTAAGAAAATACTGTGTACCCAGCACACTATTGTAACAGTCTATTGACTTAAATACTTGGAAGGCATTTAGTGAAACAGATAGTCCATAAGGACACGTTCTATTTGTTTTCATATCACACAAGGCACTGCCATTTCCAATAAAATAACCAGGGTATTTGACAGATGAAACTCCTTTGAAAGAAAGAGCAAAATACAATGAAGTCCCCACTTCTGATGCTGATGTTGAAATGCTGGTAGGGACTCGGATCTAATAAAATTTCTTGTTCACGCTTTTAAAATTTCTTCATTTTGGAAACATAAAACTTTCATTTTTAAAATATTATTAAGGGTGCTGAAATAAATTACAAATTCCTAACTGGGCAGACCATGATGGGTAGTCATGCCCATGCCTACAACTTCTTCAGAAAGGTGTGTAAGCCGGCCCTGCCCATTGTTCTTGTGCATCTAGATCAACACACCTTTGAAATGCCAGAAGTAATACCCCTGGAAGACATAACCCAACAGAGCACAGAATCTTAACTCTCCTGGGATCCTTTCCCTGCCTTGCTTTCTCGCACCTTCACTTAATCTTCCTTAAGTTCCCTCAATAGCAAGTGCAAACAAGAAACTGCAAACTGCTCTTCTCCTATTCTCCTGAGCATTTGAGATCTTGCTTCCTGGCAATAGTAAGTTTGGCTCAGATAAATTCTTAGAAAAATTCTCTACAGGTTTGGATGTTCTTAGGTCAGCAAGAAGAAGTTTCAGGAAAGAACTTGTTCTCTCTCCAACTGCTCCTACAGTTTAAGGCTCCTTCCTACTCCTCACATGAATACATACCATATCACTCCAAAGACCCAGAAGTGATTCTTCCAAGGCTTTTATCGCTTTCAAAAAAAACAACAAATAATAAATCTATTGGCAGAATGAGGGAGGAAAGAAGTTCTTTTTCAGTATGATAATGTCAAAATGAAACCCCCCCACAAATTTCGTGCACTGGGCCGAGAGAGAGAGAGAGAGAGAGAGAGAGAGAGAGTATAAAACCTCCTCTTGTGTTTTATGCCACAGTGCAGTTTCCATTTGCCACAAAAAGAAGATAGAATGGTAAAGACTAGTACCTGGTGTAGAGGTATATTGATCTGCTTAAGGAGAGCTTTCACTGCCATCTGGAGCTCGTAGAAGAACAATTGCATGGGGCAGTCAGAAGTATGATCCACACTTTCCATAGATTCAGAGCCAGAAAGCTTTTGGACCCATTCCCACTCCTCTCTGTATGTTGAGTCAAGTTAAAATTAGAAATATAACAAAAGTTCAGAACACAGCTCAGAACATTTTTAGTGTGTATGTCCAGAACCTGGGTAACCAATTTTTGGTGGTTAAAACTCAATGCAATTTATGCTATTTGAACTTTTAGACACCCAAATGGAGTTTAAAATGAGCTTTTTCTAATTTCAGCTTAGTTCACCTATCAAACGACGTCTACCTCAGGACAGCAGGTCTAATTTGTATCAGTTTTTAATTTTTGAGATTGGAGCTTTTAGATATTTTGTCTTTATTTTCCTTCCTCTGAAAATCCTATGTAAATTCTAAGACCTGCATTTTGCCACAGGGCCATCTGCAGGTTAATTCAGCAATTGAGCAACCACAGGACTCTGGTCCAACTCAGGCAACAAACCATGTGGCACATTTCAAACCTGGCCTGTGGTAATCGTGGGGACTATTTTGGTTTCTTTCCCCTTCCCAAAAGCTGGAGGAGAATCACAAACAGGAACACCAGGCAATTCTAATAAAAGGAACCAGGGGACACACATCACTGCTTCCATCCCCCTTTCAAACAGTCATATGTGTCTTTATTCTGCATGCTCTAGAATCCTTCCTAATGAACTTTCCCAAATGTCATGCAGAAGGGAAGGGAAAGAATGGTGGTGGGAGGAAAGCACATCTGGTTTATTCCCCAAAGGCTCCTCTTCAAAAGGAGCTTGAAAAGATCAAGGTAAATGCCTCTTGGGTAACATTGTTTCCACAGGTATTTTAGTACAAGTCTCTAAACATATTCAGTTGGCTGGGTTTCTTCTTCTAACTCTTCAGGGAACAGTAATATGCTCTCAGGAGCAGGCTAGAGAGGAAAGGAAAGCCCTCCTCTCTGGGGATGGAAAGAGAGGAGGTGCTAACATATGTTCCCACTCTCATGAAACCCTCTGAGGGCTCTACCCAATGGATTATACCAGCCTGGGCTCCAATCTGTGGGTCAGAAAATGAAATTGATTGTGACATAAGCTTTTCATCAGAAAACACTCTCTTTTAACCAACTACCCTCTTATAAAAGTTTCTGTTTTTAAGATATCTGTTTCCTTTCAATTCCCACACTGGAAAAGACTATGGAAAATTTACCCTTTGTCCCGATAAAAGAAAAAAACTCAAAATTAAATCCCACTTCAGTCTGGGCAGACTGTTGGCTTCATAAATAATTGAAATCTCTGAGAACCTGTTTGGGAACTGTTTCTTTCTCTCATAGCTAATATTGAAAACTAACTGAGGGGGTCTGATTATACACAAAACCTGAAGGAGAACATTGCTAACATATCACCTGTAATCAAATTAGAAAATAAATTACTGGTAGGAATACCATAAAATATCTAACCATTAATCAGCTTAATTGCTAAGGACGAGGGAGTTGGAACTGGCAGAGTGAAGGATGCTGGAATCTCCCATAAAAACGAAACTTGGAGTCTTGGCAAGGGGAAAGTAGATGGTATAACCACTAAAAGATAGAGTCTAAACCTTTAAGACACAAATCTAGAAAATGGAGGAGAGTATTTGTTGCTGAGTCAACCTACAAATGAATGTTATAACCTCTTGTGAAAGGCTGAGATCACTAATGCTGATTGTAGAAGTGACCACCAGATGGCAGACTTAAAGTCTCGGTGTAGTTGATAAGTGAGAGAGAATATGGCAGCTACTGAGTTCTTTGAAGAGACCATCATCATCATCTTCATTGTGATCAAGTAGTATTTAATAAACATTGTGAGACACTAGAGTTAATCAACTTGCCAAAACTTTAAACGACCACATTAGAGTCACCTTTGGTTAAATAAATCCATAGGTATAACTAGAGTTTGGGTATCTAACTTGTACTCTGAAGTCTGAAAATCTCTGGAGAGTTCTTTTTCTTTTCTTATTTGTTCGTTCCTTTCCCTTTAAACAATTTTTTTTTTCATGTTAAGCACAATTCAGTAGACTTTCAGAGACCTGTTAGAGGGCTAGTTGTAAAGCTTAGCCAGATTACCAAGATTGGGCAACCTTCCCAAAATGAACAGGGCAGTTCACTCTGATGCCAAACCATAGAGGAGTTTCCAGAAGCCCAGGCCTTGTTACACCTTTTCTGCCCTAGAGAATCATAAAGAGTATAGAAAACTTACAAAGTCCCCAGGCTAGAGGGTTAGGGGTGGGGAGAATGATGGTGGAGGGGCAGCCCTTTATGATTAAGGGGAAATCAGTGCTTTACTAGAACCCATTTCCATAGTCATATTAAAAAAATAATGACTTATTAGGGTGTGAAGAAAAGATATTGGAAATAGCAATGTTGAAAGTAAAGGACACCTACACATTAACCAGTTGTGCATCAGTGGTTGTACCATGAATAATATAGAGAGAAAAGTGAAAGGATAGTGCCCCCTTAGATGGGCTCACTTCTTTCACCAACACCACCAGCCCTCCTATCCTGATGTTAATATGCAGCTTGGTGTCTGCCCCCGTGTGCTGGCTCCTGAGGATATCTCACTATAGAAACAGTACTGGGAAGTTCAACACTTCATTTTCCTTCTGACACATCACACCATCACTCAAGCCATTGTTTCACCAGGAGGAAAATGCAACGCCTCATAACTTACTTGGAAATGTTATGGTTTTCACGGATCTTAACATGGCAGAGAATGTTGGGCAACTTTTGAGTAACAAGAACTTTAATCTGGTCCACAGAGCTACACAGCTTTAGATAACCCAGATATAATCCAGGAGAGAGACGTTGATGACTCCTTTTGTGATAGGAGAGAATATCCTGTAGGATGAAAAAAACAAGCAGAAACAAAAAACTCCTTGAAAGGCGATCTCAAAACCTTTTTCTTTCTTAGGTGCAACATGCCATGAATTAAAGGTGCTGGAGCTAAGAAATTAGGCGAAACACCTCAGATAACACCATGAAGGTTGGGGATAGACCATCTTACCTTCAGGAGACTTGTCCTCCATGTCAGGTAACCAGTTATTAATACATTCTACATGCTTATTTTCCTCAGATTTCTGAACAGGGGGAGGTGTGTGGGCTGTGATTAGCTATGGACAGGTGGTAGTGGAGGCAGGTACTAAAGAAAACTAGAATTTATAATCTCTGTCCTTGGAGGGCTTATTGTATAGCCGGGGAAACAGAAATTTACAAGTGTAAATGCTGATAAAGCTGTACAGGAAGCCTCATTATTTCAGGATAATTGGTATCAGGAAAAGTCTATTTTAAATGACACCACTTAAAATAGGATAAAAATTTTATAGTAGTAGAAGAAAAGATTTAATTGATTCTTTATCTTGAGAAATGAAACAATGTAACAATAGATATATTTATCTTATTAAAATTTAAATTGTAGTTATATGTATTGACTAATTCTGAAAATGAAGAGAGAATCAAGTATTGGTTCTTTTTATGGCATAACTTTTTTTAGACTAAATTGTATGATATGCTGTTTGAAATTGTATGAAATGCTGTTTCTTACATTTGACTTTCACAATGAAGAGGATAGTTTTTTCAAGAGTTTGTGAAAGTTTCATATTTTTTCCCCTGGCATTTAAAAAATATTTGATATTTATGTCATTCTCTTATAAAATACTTGTTCCTTTTATGTTCTTCAATTGTTAACTGGCCTATTGCTGAATTGTAACTGGCTTTGCATGTGATTTGGTTAGTTTTCCACATCATCTTCATCAGCTTCACAAAATTCTGTACTTTTACAAAATTTAAAATTTACCTTATAATAGATTTGCATTGTATTGTCACAACACAATATTCCACAGGCAGCAGAGACTGAATGAAGTTGTTGGTTTAACAGGAAGTGCCAGCCTGTTATAGCACAGAGGGACGTTTGAGTCAAGTCTTGTTTTATATGTTGTAAGTTCTCTAGTGAACTATTTAGGGTGTGACTTTAGCTTCCCTATATTACTGCAATAACTCAGATAACGAATAATTGGAAATACAGATTCCCCCTCCCCCATCTCAGTAGGTATGACTTTTTAAACATTTGGGCAGCATAGGAGTTAAACAGTGTTAACAGTGATGAGTCAGGTAACTGATTATGAAGATTCCTATAGGCCAGAGTTTAGTCTGATTTTCAAAGTGAGTAAAAAAAGAGGGAATCATCGCTACCACTAAATGTAGGGAAGGTGAAAAGGAAAAGGAAAACAAACATTATACTTGCACAAAATTTTATATGGAACAGAGAGGTATTGAAGTCTCCCTTGGCCACTAAGAAGGAGTAATCTCTCCTCTGTAGAATTAACGATTTGCAACACCTAATACATGCTATTGTGTATTGTCTCCTTTGTTTCATCCTCTACCAAACATACTGAATTCCAGGCTCTACAGGAAACATTGGGACTTCAGGTAACTTGCTATGAGCACTACTTTTGAAGAGGTCAAGAAGATGAGTAAACAAATTATCACTATATATTGAAATTAATTTTATAATAGAGACAGTGTTGGCATACAGATGAAGGAGTACTTAACTTATATTTTTCTTCTTTTATGCTCTTTTTTTGAACTAGACTATGAAATTAGTGGTGTTGCTGTGTTTTCTATTGCTTTGTTTCCTTGGTACCCAATGCTAATTCTATATATAATAGATACTCAACACGTGGAAATCAGGACAGTTTCCTAAAACAGAACAGAGAATAGCAGAAGAGGAACAAAATAAGAATGGCCACAGCTGGGGTCATAAATGATCACATAACTAGCGAGTACAGAAAAGGAAAAAGCTAAGTAATTTTTAAGATATTTGATGAAAAAGACTAGAAAGAAATTTGATTTCATGATCAAGAAGGAAGGCATTCTTATTAATATTAGGAGTTCCATACAACTTGACTTTTTAATGTCTTTTATCCTGTCTCAGAACAGATCACAGGTGAGTAGTTGACTAGGGGAGCTTCAGTCAAGGTGAAATTTTAAGAAATGAATAGGTAATCAAAGAGAGAAATGGTTAATGAGAGGAGGAAGAATGGAAGTGTTCAGATGGACAGAATTTGATGATATGCACCCTAGGGGGGTACTTGCTGAACAAGCAGATGTGGCCACAAACTCACAGGTCAATATTTTTGAGAAGTGATGGACAACTAGAAAGTCCCTCAAGACTAGAAAAGGGCAAATATGCCTATTTTTGAAACAGGAAGGGGAGAAGCACAGGATGACCCTAGTAATTAAAGACTGCCAACTTATTGATCTTTAGGAGAAATGAAAAAGAACCATCTAACAATCAATTTGCAGCCAGTCAGGAAATCCTGAGACACTGGATCAGGGAGAAGTCTCCAGTGGAATCTGTTTCACTAGATAATCTGTGAAAAGAAGAGTCTTTACTGTATTACTTTAATAAGCTAAATATCTGAGGTGAAGATTTGTGAATGATAGAAATGGTGTGGGAATAGTAGACATTTTGAGTGATGGACCAATAAAGACTGGCCCTGAGGTCCACCCTTTCCAGCTTATTTATTGACATTCCAGATAAAGAAATAAAAAATGTGTATCAAATTTGTGGGTCCCAAGTTTAGTGTGGTTTGGATTTTCTGGAAAATAGTAATAAAGCTCTGAATGACCCTGTGCATTGGAAAAATAAGCTTATCATAATTAGGGTTTAAACTTAATAAGAAAATGTGCTTGTAAAGACCCAAACCCCAGTACAAGTATAGGATGGGTATGAGTATAAGAGAAAAAACATGTGGGAGTCAGACTGACCACAGATAGAATGTGAGCTGGGAACATACTGTGGTTATGTAAAAGCCAACACCATTCTGGGATGGAGTAATTTACTCTTTCATTCAATTTTTTTAAAAAGACTGTTACTGAGCATCTACTATGTATGTTCCTGTCTTCACATAGTCATTTTATCCTTCATTAGAATGTTTTGGGCCTAAGAAATGCATAGGAAGAGAAAGAAGCTATCCCATTCACATAATGTGAGATACACTAGAAAGACCCCCTAAACCAAATCAAATGCCTTTGGGTTTACACATTGCCTCATTTGACCACTAAACCACATTTCTAGCCTCTACTTCCACTACAGCCCTTTTTCATCTCTTATCTCCAGCCAAGATGGATTCCTTTTTCATTCCGCGTGCATGCCCTAATCTCTTTTTTGATTTTTTTTCTTGCTGGTTCATGAATTCACTCATTCTACCAACTTGTATTGAGCACTTACTACATATAAGGCATTGTGCTAGGGCAGTGGTCGACAAACTGCGGCTCAGCAAACTGCGGCTCACGAGCCACATGCGACTCTTTGGCCCCTTGAGTATGGCTCTTCCACAAAATACCAGCTCTTCCACAAAATACCGACTTCTGTGCATGGGCCATGAAGTTTCAATCGCACTGTATGTGCGCACCCGCACGTGGTATTTTGTGGAAGAGCCACACTCAAGGGGCCAAAGCGCCGCATGTGGCTCGCAAGCTGTGGGTTGCCGACCACGGTTAGGGTATTAATGACATCAAGATGAATAAGACATGATCCTTTCATGGAACTCACATTTCAGTATGTGAGAACTAAATGTAAGCAAGTTTTTCTAACCCAGTGTGATAAGGGCCATAAGAAAAATGTGTAAGAGTCCTTGTGGACCCAAGGGAGGGTGAAGATTGACTTTTCTAGCTTCTGCCTCATTTCTTTTACCATGCTCTGTATTTAATTCTATTTATCTCCTTTCTTTCTCCCTCCTACCTTTCCTCTCCTCTACCTTTTTCATTCCCCCTCTCCCTCTATCTTTCCCTCCCCCATCTCTTTCTCTTTTTTTCTCCACCTGGTGAACTTAACTTACCCTTCATGGCTCAGCCAACTGACCTCTTCTATACAACGCCTTCCCTGACATTTCCAGGTAGAATTAATAGCTGCTTTGTCTGTGTTTCCATAGCATGCTGTTTGTGTTGTAGAGTTTACAGTCAGCCAGGCTTCCTGTGGTTCTGGGTGAAGTCCGTATTGTTTCTCTGAGGTATTAATCAATTGTTGTGTGCGGCGTTAATTTCCCGGTGTTTATCTCTGCCGCCATCTTAGTTTCTCCCCTCTTTCTCTTTTTTTCTCCACCTGGTGAACTTAACTTACCCTTCATGGCTCAGCCAACTGTCACCTCTTCTACAACGCCTTCCCTGACATTTCCAGGTAGAATTAATAGCTGCTTTGTCTGTGTTTCCATAGCATGCTGTTTGTGCTGCTATCAGGCTCTGGTCTAATTCTGCCTTGTATTACCTTGATTTGTTTACAAGTCTGTCTGTCTCCCCTGACTGAACTCCTTGAGACCAGGGACCTTGACTTATTCATTTGTTTTTTCTATAGCACCTAGAAGAGTTCCTGGCACCTACTTGGTGCTGAAAAAATGTTTATTAAATATGAAGTGAGAGGCCAAGAGGGAGTGGGGTCTAGGGCAGGGCCTCTGGGAGAGAATATGCTGTGCTGGTGCAGTAACTATGAAGAGTTATATATCCAACTGCTCTTCATTGATCAGAAGGCCTAAGAACTTGTTAGAAGAATGATATATAGTTACTTTTCCAGTAACCACAAAGTTTTTGTTTAGTTGGATAGAGGATGGAAGCAGAATTGTCCAGGGATAGCAGAACTCATAAAATGGTGGCTTGTGGTCTTTGTGGGCCAGCCCATGATCATTGGACTACAAAGAATTTAAATTTTCTGGATTATTTTTTTAACTTTTAAAAATAAAGAGATTTTTATTGAAAACTCTGAACTTTCAGCTTTTCTTTAAAAATTGGAAAACATTTCAGCATTGGGACTACTTTCCTCCACTGCAATTAGCTGAGGCTGAATA